TGTGCCGAATCTTCACTTCGTCACAGTCTCCCATCCTGAGCAGCACACCAGCAGCAGCGGAGAGGAAAAACWCCCCATTAACAGGAAGAAACCTCCAGCAGAACCAGGCTCAGGATAGGCGGCCATCTGCCTCGACCGGCTGGTTGAGGGACAGGAAAGAGACACAGGTAAACACAGGACTGGTGTAGTGTCCAAGAGTGGGGGGCCTCTTCTCAGGAATGCACAGATGTGATGTCTCTTAGTTTCCAGCTTCAGAGCTCGGCACATATTACMRTATTAGGAAGAAGGTATACCGTGACAAAATTTATGGTACATCTGTGAAGCCTATAAAGGGCCTTGTACGCCCCCATCCTTGGCCTTCGTTCTCCATCTTTCTTACTTGGTGAATCAGTTGGCATTGAAGGCCATAATTTGGTTTTTGGCTGTAATCTCCTGGACTGCAAAATAAAGATTCTTGCTGTTCAACCAGCCTGTTTCAGAGTTCTCTCTTCATTGAGCAACAGCAGTTCCACTTCAACCAGAAAACGTGTTTTTTTTTTCACCTCACTGGTTCAGGTGTATTTTCCTCAGAGACAAAGAAAACACGTTTTAGATAGAAGTGATTATAACAAACGTAGAGGAGAGAGACTAAAGACAACAGCAGAGTGAGGAAATGCTCAGTTTGTGCTCCAGCAGTCTAATCTATAGCAGCATAACTAATACTGTAATAACTAAGGAATAAGTCAGGAAGCCTAAGTCTAACTATAGGATTTATCAAAAAGGAACGTCTTCAAAGTAGACAGAGTGTCAGCCTCACAGACAGAAACTGGAAGTTGGTTACACAAGAGAGGAGCTTGATAACTGAAAGCTCTGCCTCCTATTCTACTTTTAGAAACTCAAGGAACCACAAGTAAACCTGCAGTCTGAGAGCAAAGTGCTCTGTTAGGAAAGTATGGAACAATAAGATGTTTAACATGATGGAGCTTGGTTGTTAAGAGCTTTGTATGTTAGGAGTAATATTTTAAATTCTATTCTGAATTTGACAGGGAGCCAGTGGAGAGAAGCTAAAACTGGAAAAATATGATCTCTCCTTCCAACTCTCATTAAAACTCTAGCAGCAGCATTTTGGATTAACTGAAGACTTCTTAAAGAGTTTTTTGGATAACCAGATAATAAAGAATTACAGTAATCCAGCGTAGATGTGTTGGATCAGTTTTTCTGCATCATTTTTGGACAATATGTTTCTAATTTTAGTGATATTATGCAGGTGGAAGAAGGCGGCCCTGGTAACATTTTTAATGTGGGGGTTAAAAGACATGTCCTGATCATATCCTTTTAGACATGGTAATTCTGTCATTAAGACAACTGAGACAATGGTTTTCATTTCTTTTGTTGGGATTAAAAATATAGAATACAGTTTGATAGAGATGCATCCCTCAGCTCTGGATATTTGCTTTATTATATTTTAATAGCAAAATTATCTAATAGTTAATCTGTTGCCGACAATTGTTTGAGACATGTCACTCTTTGTCCTCTGTTTGTTCACTTTCATTATTTTAAAGAACAAACTGCACAATCTGGTGTCACAGTTAGGTACAAAGACAAGCCAGAAAATAAATAAAAAGCCGCTTAAGCACAGAGAAACAATTTGGAAGTCCTTCGGAAAGTTTGCAAAACTAATGATTACTTAAAGAAATTACAAGAAAGTCTGGCTTCCTAGATGTAAAATATCAATAAATCTGAGATTAAAGACCTTTGCACATTACTGTATATATTGCAATTTTGGTGCCACTTCAGTGAAAATCTGTTTTTATTTCAAATGCCAAAACTAAAATCAACAGAGTGAAAGAAATCTGACAGCTGAAGTTAGTTTTCACAGATAAATATGATCCGTAAACAGGAGTTGATAGCAAAGGGAGCAGCTGTCAAAACATCCTCAAGGCTGAGGAGGTAATATAACTAACTGCAATCAAGTCCTCAGAGATGATGTGTAATAAAAGCTGCAGGAATGATGTTTATTTATGCTGATTAACGCTGCTGCTGCAGAGGAGACATCAGGCTGAAGGGTCTCACCATCAGAGATGCTGTCAGGCCGCCATCTGCTGACCGGTAAACACACTGCAGTCACATCCTACACAATATTCTACATCAGGATGAAAGTTTTTATTGTTTATATATATATATATGT